ACTATGGGTTTATAAACTAATAAACAAATGAAAGAAAGGGACAAGATTAAGTAGTTTATAAATAAGCAAATGATTACTTAGATCTCACTATAAAACTCAACACAATTGATCTAATCTAATTGGAAAAGCCACATTTTATTTAGGGAAGTGGTTGGCCTGTCACTCAATCTTATGTACTGTGTTTTATGAGGATGTCATCTGCATACCTAACCCTAATCTTCCCCTTAAACCCTAATAATTTAAAGATTAACATAGAAAAATCAATCTTATGGACTATGTCTTGTAGACTAAGATTCTTTCTCATTCTCTTTCTATCTCCTTCTATCTTGTCTTTTCATATTTTTTATTTTATCTTTCTCTTTCTATAAAAAATTATAATGTAATGTTGATGTGGTTTAATCATAACTATTTAAATAGAATGAGAGAGAATGAAAGGAAAAAAAAAGAAAGATAAGATAATCCTACTCCATGTTTTATGAGGATGCCATCTGCGAACCTAACCCTAATCTTCCCCGTAAACCTAATAATTAAATATTAAAGTAGAAATTATAACACAATCCCTAACCTCAAATCAAAAGGGACATATCTCCCAAAAGCTACACACCATCCCACCACCCAAAATCCCAGAAAACCCTAACCCTTCCATTCTCACTTATCCACGCACGAATTGTAAATATAGTAATAAATCAACACACCTAACTCTTAGATATTACTATTCCTAAAGACCATAACCACCACAAAACTCAATATGTTCACAACTAATACAACTAAATATAAGATTCGGACATACACACGTGCGTAAGTTGATTTTGATTGTTGATGCATTTAGGGTTCACAATACATTTTGGACCCCCTTGACGGGAATGTTGAGTATTGTTAGCATTCTTCAACGAATATCTAATACATGTTTCAAATCTGTATACTTGATTAATACTTTCGTTTGTCCTTCACTCTAGATATTTATGCTTGCACTTGTAGAACTTGAATTTGAAGTTTTGGGCTTTATTTTTGGTAATGAAGATATAAATTGTGTGGTGGTATCAAAGTAGCAAGTTTTTTATCATCACTGAAGTTTTCTGTGCTGTGTTACTTGTCATTAATTGAAGCCTCTCTTCATATATGTGAGATATTTTAAAGTATATCATTTTTGGAGAAAGTTATGTTGTGACAAATTGTAAAAGCACTTGAATGAGAAATACTTGTTTCTTGTAAGTTGGCTGAGACTGAGAGTTGTGGCCCTTTTTGCATCAGTAGTAATTGCATATTGTCATCTTCCCATATTCATGCATATATCAAACATTGCAGATTCCTTGGTTTTAGTAGGAAATTCATGATATATTGTCATTACCATATTTTCATACTTTTAGTCTCAAACCTTTATGATAATTAGCTTAGACTATGGCTTGAGCTACTCTTTCTTTAATGACGATGTGACATCATTTTATCGTATAAACGTTATAATCAAAATTGTTCATTATCTTTATTAGCATATCATCTCTAGAAGATTCATTCAATTTAGAGACCATGTAGTCATCCATGTGTCCAACAAATCGACGACGATTAAGTTAACAAGTAACATTTTCAAGGTGAACCGTCGCTTATGATATATTGAAATTTGATTATAATGTTTGTACGATGAAAAGATGTCACACCGTCATTAAAAGAGAAATGACCAAACGGTGTCCATATTTAATCGCTCTCATGGAATGAAAATGTTAATTATAAACATGTAAGTGAGAATCTTAGACTCTACTCTTTGGGATGACAAATTTAAACCAAATTATTATAGCTGATCATTCTGTACTTTCATACTCTTACTCCTTAATATAAAGATACATATAATTATTGTATTAAAAAATTGTAAAGCATGTGTGTTTCCATATTTTATTTAACCACTCTTACACTATGCAAACCGCAACGGAAATATCACGATTATAAAAGCATGCATGTGTGTGATTTATCTTTAGGAAAAATTATACCTTAATAAACCATTTCGTTTTCAATTTTTACATTTTACAAAATTAAAAATCGAAATCTTATTTTAATAACTACTTTTGGTTATAAAAAAAAAAAAACTGAAAACTGAAAAATACTCTCTTGAATTTTCAAAATTTGTACTTGAGTTTTCAAGTTTTGGTTTTTAATTTTTTTTTAAAGCTAAAAATAATTATCAAACGAGATTTCATAAATAATTTACAAAAATATAAAAACTGAAAAAATATTTTGTCCCACCACAGAACCTCCCTTGAAAGGTACCCAACATTTAACATGTTTGGTACATGTCCATGTCCTCAAATTCTAAATACCTACTAGAACGGATAATGTAAATAATTTGATTAGATTTAGTGCTCGGTAGTCAGCAATCCATCCATTTAACTGTATGTTGTTTAAGCATCAAATTTGAACTTCCAACCTAACAAAACTAAATCACTCGAACCTTCTCATTGTATGTTTTCGACTTTCTTTTTATCTTGCAATGCTATTGATGATTAAAACTCTTTAATTTCTAGATCACCCTTTAATTTCATTAGCAAAAAAAATGGGGAAAGAAAACACAGAGAAGTTTTTCCTTGAAATACGAGGAAATAAGGTTGGTTCTGTAGGCACTGAAGCATACAATTCAACATAACCCTTGCGGTCGGTCAAATGCATATCGGACAAGTCTTCTCTAGCATTGAAGCCTAACCCTTTAAGAATTAACTTTGCAAAAAAAAAAAAACAAAAAAAACTTAATTAGAAATCATTTAACTATTTGAACAATGTTTTCAATATTTAAGTGATAAATGGATTGTCTATTTATTGGATAACTGCTAGGTGAGTAAACAATTTTGGTTTCAATTAAGTTTTGGAGAGATGATGTTTAAAGAGGTGACCAAGAAAATGAACAGTTTGAATCATCCTACATCATTGCAAGTTGAGAAGATAGAATGAGAAGTTTGATTGCATACTACGATAAAAAAAATTAAAAAATGCTTAATCCGTAAACCTATAGGGGCAATGCTAGGGAGGCCAAAGTTTTATACCAAATTTTGGAAACCAAATGATGTGGTTGTTGATGATTTGATTATTACTTAAGTATTGATTAACATGCTTATTTCTTATTGATGACACATTATTTGATTTAAAAATTTAGTCTATTTAACATTACCCAACTTATAATAATGTTTTGGATATAAGCATAAAATTAGCACCAAAGGGAATTTGTTAATGATCCTACCCCATATAATAATATTCTCTAATCATATCGTGTGATATGTTATGTGATCGATTGTTGATTTAAGATCAACTGTCACATCCCGGCCCGGGGCGGACCACTTCCCGGGCCCGCTCCACCACCGTAGCACGATATTGTCCGCTTTGGGCTTACCATTCCCTCACGGTTTTGTTTTTGGGAACTCACGAGCAACTTCCCAGAGGGTCACCCATCCTGGGAGTGCTCTAGCCCTCCTCTCGCTTAACTTCGGAGTTCCTACGGAACCCGAAGCCAGTGAGCTCCCAAAAGGCCTCGTGCTAGGTAGGGATGGGAATATACATTTAAGGATCACTTCCCTGGGCGATGTGGGATGTCACAATCCACCCCCCTTAGGGGCCCGACGTCCTCGTCGGCACATTTCCGGCCAGGGATAGGCTCTGATACAATTTGTCACATTCCCGGCCCGGGGCGGACCACTTCCCGGGCCCGCTCCACCACCGTAGCACGATATGTCGCTTTGGGCTTACCATTCCCTCACGGTTTTGTTTTTGGGAACTCACGAGCAACTTTCCAGAGGGTCACCCATCCTGGGAGTGCTCTAGCCCTCCTCTCGCTTAACTTCGGAGTTCCTACGGAACCCGAAGCCAGTGAGCTCCCAAAAGGCCTCGTGCTAGGTAGGGATGGGAATATACATTTAAGGATTACTTCCCTGGGCGATGTGGGATGTCACATCAACCGTGACAACATTATTTCATTTAATCAATCAAATTTGATGCAAAAATATTAGTATGTAGATCAAAAAAAGGATTTAAGGTTGGGACTTTGGTCTTAGAGTTAGGTCTGTTTTCAGTTCATTTTAGGTCTTTTTATTTCTCCTATTTATTTATTTTGAATGAAGGTCTTTTGGTAGGGACTTGTGTGTGTGTGTGCACATTATTGATCAAATTGGTGAATAAAATTGTCGGTGGGTGGTGGACATACATGTTTGCCCAACTAGACACGTTTGAATCATATGTGGTGGACATTTACGCCCTAGTTGGACACATAAACATTCAAATCTACTGTTTTGTGGCCTTTGGGCCATATGCAACAAATGCTACTTTGAAAATGGCAGACATAACAAATGTGAATTTGTATAGTTTGACTAACGTAGTGCGATCACATCTTCTTGCACCGAATTTTAATTTCTTTCTTTGTAAATAAAAACGGTTATTAGTACTTCTAAAAATTTCATTCTACATTTTTTATAGTATCGTTTGGTATGCAAACGGGACGGGACGGAACGAAATGGGATGGGACGGGACGGGACAGGATGGAACGGAACGGAGCGGGAGCAAAGATGCCCTTAGATGGAAACAAGGAGAAGAAGAAGGAGACGGAGAGGTTATAATTTTGTGTTCCACGGATGTGGAATGAGTCGTTCCAGGGGGGTAAGGTGGAACGAAAATTCACCCAAAACTCGTCCCGTGGAACAGCTCGTTCCACCCGTTTTAGACGCACCAAACGTGGGACGGAACGCCTTGTCCCACTCTCTTCCGTCCCGTCCCACGTACCAAACAATATAAGTGTATTTTTCTTTCTAATTGTAAAAAATTGAGACTCTCAAACGTGATTTTTAAAGTGTTAATAATAATTCGCTTATAAATTAGAATAATTTATAATAGTATATAGTCTTTAATAAGAAAATATCAAATATAAAGTCACAAAAGGAACTGAGAAATACAATCGTTTTACAATACCATCAACTTTACTTAATCAAAATCAAAACAAGAAACAAATATTTCTTGCCTCCATTAAGCCAACTTGATGAGGCATGTCATGAGCCTTGTTTATGAAGGTACAAATCTTCCAACCCCACAAATTCATGATAAACATTGAATGTAACGGTAGGAAATACAACGGCAGAGAGATAATTGGCTATTTTTGTTATAGTTCGATTCGCAATTATTCTAAAAAACAGTCAAGTGAAAAATCGAAAGTGACCAACAAGTTCAGGGAGTATATCGACAAACTACTTTCAAAATTGTACTAGCTTTCAATTATTGAAGCTCCAGCTCAGAATTTTATGATCTTCAATGAGTTGGCCAGTTGATGCAGTGAAACCAACATACATTTCATCACGAAAAACTTCAGAGAGATCAAGTGGAACCCTAATCAAAGGCTGCTCAGGCTTCTTCACATTTTCAGGAGCCAATGTTATGCTGAGCTGGTAATTCCAGTACTCAATCCAAGCTTGATAGTTGTACTCCACTATTCAGCTTTATTTCCTTGAAAGGCAAGTTAGTGTCGTTACTGCCCTCACCAAGCCAGTATCCAGCTTTGTAAGAAGCCAGAGAAGTTAGAGAATTGACGTTAACGCCGACGTGATTATCGTTGATGTCACCGAATTCTTTGTTTTGGAACACATCAAATTCGACGCCAAAAGCGTGGTTGTTGGGGTTACCGTCATTGGTTTTATTCAAGAAGCCGAGATGTTGGGATGGAGAGGCGGATTGGATGCCGGGAGAGGGAACGAAAACAAGGACGAATCCATGGCCGGGGAGAGAGTCCTTGTGTGGGGTTATGGAAAAGGTGAAGGAGGTTGTGAAAGGCAGAAGGTTTAAGGAGTTTGGATACCTTGTGGGACTTTGGCGTTGTAGAGAGCTCTGCCAATGGAAAATGTGGTGTTGGTTGTGAGAGAAAGAACACCAGAATCTGTTGTTGCATTTCCAAAGAGCAAGATATCAGATGAGTTGAAACCAGTGAGGAGAAATCAACTGCAAAACTCGATTGGAGGAGAAAGAGGTTGGTTAGGAATAGTACAAGTAATTGAAGGGACTCCATTGAATTCTATGGCACCTGCACCAAGCTTTGAGTTTTCTGCATCATCCTGCGGTCAAAATATATACAACTTGCCTTGCCTTCCACAAGCAACAAAATTGAATTAAACCCAACTTTTACTAGTCAACATTTGCGTGGTAAAACACGAGAGTGAACAAGCATAGAGACTTGAGAATTGATTTCCGCACATTTCTTTCCACACTCCAATTCATTTCTGACCTTTAGATTAAAAAATCAAAGGAGATTCAAGGTACGAAAAAAGTTGTGCGGAAATCATTTCCTTATAAAGTTTTGTCTTTCAATGTCTACAATAGGAGCAGACCTGAACGTAACCAAGTTGGCTAGAGTAATATGCTTCTCCTTTCCCATTGAAGTTCAAATTTTTCCCTTCCCGTACTTTAGGTTAGATTAGAATAACGTGTGAAGAAAAATACAAACGCCTAGTTAAACACAACCAGACAAATTTTCAACCTAAAAGTGCCAATCTCCCCAACAATTCAGGCAAGTCTTAGTCTGCCAATCTCCCCAACAATTTAGGCAAGTCTTTGTCGAGGTAATCATCAGGGTAGTCACACTTTTCAAGATCAAATATTATTTAAAATCAAAGGAGAACTAGGAAATTCTGCAGCAACTGTTATTGATGCATATAGCACTCCAGTCAAGCCGTACGAAATGGGAGTAATCATAATTACATGTGGAAGTGAGAAATCCGAACTCAAAAGAGCAAACAGAGTCATCCTTTCCCCTCCTTTTTTTTCTTCAAAAATGTAAACAAATAAAGGGAAAGGTGTTTTAACAGTACAATGGAAAATTACGCTTTTACATCACAAAACACAATTTTCATTTTCCCACATACTCTACAGCTTATGGCTTATAACAAGCTCTGCATGAATGGGCCATGTTTTTCAGTAGCAAGGGGGTGACAATGATTACGATACAGGTGAGAGAGTAAGCGAGCGTGTGTTCTAAGCTATAAACTTAGTTAAAAATGGGCACCGGCTATTCTTCCACGGGTGCCCCTCCTATACAGAAAAAGAAAAGCACCCCCACCATTGTATGACTCATATTTCACAAGACAAAACCAGCAGTTTTATCTGCTGGTGATGCACTGCTTTCAGTTCTACTTATGCCAGCTCAACGACCAGAAACAAATAATGAATTGGTGGATATTTGGTTCGCCTCAGCGTGGAATTTTCTGACCTTTGCCTTGTCTAGGCGTGCTCGTCTAACAGCTTCTTGGACCTGGAGATCGTGGTCCTTCAGCATCTGATCCGTGTTGCCAGAGGGTACTAGCAAGGGACCTGAGTAGTGCATTTTGTGACCCGTAGATCCGTAACCAACCTAAAATAACCAATATAAAGAACGCTGTATTAGGCAATAAGAGTAAACAAAAATAAAAAAGAAACATAAACCAAAAAGAATAGCTTCTGACCCACAAATCACAATCAAAACAGTAGGCACACCCTTAAGGTTAATTGTAGAAAATTATAAATCAATGAGGAATCCCCATCATAGGGGAAAAGGCATGAGTTCAACTACTCACAATAATTGGATCTTTGTTGCTTCTAATATCTTCTTTTTGACAAGAACCTGCATTGGCCTGCTTTTGATCGTGTTGTAAGGGATCTGATGCCTCCTTGAAGGAGCCTGGAAACCTGCCTATTGCTTTTGGAACTTCCATTTGCGAAGAACTAGACCTTTTTCTGCGTTCCTCAGATAACATACTCCTCCTTGCTGCCACTAAACCTGACATTGCTGACAAGTCAACCCCAGTTGAAACCTTTGGAGCATCATCTGGGTTCTTAGTAGACTTGGCCCATGCAGCCCGGTGAGCCAATGGCCCTGAATGAGAAGCTCGATTATGATTATGTCCATGATGTGCTACACTCGCATCTACGGCTTGTGATGGCCTAGGTGGATCAATTGGAAAGCCAGAAGCAACTTCTTCTGGATGAGGGTTAAACTTCTCACTCCGGCTCTTGGAACTGTCTTGTCTTTTCTGTAACAAGAAAACCCTTGTATTGAGATATATATCCCATATGGTGTGGTACCATAAACAATACTGAATAATTTACAACAAAGGGTCTCCAAGAGGAATTTGAGTCCAAAAGTCCTTTTCATTGAATAATAACGTGCAATGTGAACCACGTAAGATTATAAGTGAAAGAAATTATTTCACAGCTGATTGGAAAAATACATTATTCCATAGTTGAAGAACAGCAAGTCTGTAATTATTAATTAACAAGACCATCAATGTTATGTGGAGTTATTGTACTGGTAGAAAACACAAGCCTTGGGTATATATAACTCAAGGGAAATTTTGGGTGGACCGTAAAAGCCCCTTTTCATAGTAATAGAACAGAAAAAAAAAACCTTGATTTTTAAAGAAGAAATCGAAGAGGAAAGGAGAGGATAATTTCCAACATATTCCTTGCAATAACAGTGCACTGAATATGTCATTTTAATACTGCAAGTTCATGCAAAAAAGCAAAAAGGCAACGCATAAATATCATCATGCTAAATGCATATGCACCCTGGTGCTGGTTTGACCCCCACCGATCCCCCTCTCTCCTAATATTTAACAATTTAACCCACTAACGCTATCGTTTGTCAAAAAAAAAATCATCATGCTTAACAATTAGAACATAAATCAATGATGGAGTTAAGTGAGTGTTTTTAGCTAAAATAACCTCAGGTTACCTTCATTGACATGACTAATTCGGCATTGGCATCAGGTGCTGGTACGGCTCGAGACTCTCTTGTTCCTCTCCTTTCGTGGTCAAGCCTTTGGCCCTTCCCTGCTGCTCCTTGTCTACCAATGTGTGGAAAAAAAGATTATTACTATATAGTATATACATCACCCACACTTTCAGTGGTAAAAATAAAAGAGGAAAAAACTACACATACAGGGCCAAAATTGATATCAGATTCACAATACTCAAATTAAATCTTAAGAAAATGAGAAGACAGAATTCAACAAATAATCTTCAGTGTATGAACATGTACTCAGAAATAATTAATGGTTTTACACCAATGCACTTCAGAAATGAGACTATCATAACCATATATAATCCCAACCAGAAACATATGTACAAACTCAGTTGCTTTAGGCAAACTCCAGAGTCCAGACTCTTATGATCTCACTTACTAATTACCAAGCTTAAACCATGCCATGATGTGTGCTAAGCACAAACAGCTGATAAGTTTTTTAGTTTCCCTTTATTTGATGTCAAGGCCCAACAACCCCTTTTCAGAAGCTCATTGCTAAATCACAGAAGCACAGCTCATCAAATGTGCCTGACTTGTTCAATTTTCATAGTGCATGTATCATTAGGCATATATTTTTGCGTCTTTTGGGAACTTGAACCATTCATGCTGCAAATTTAAGTAGTTTAAATAGTACATATAAGTAAATGTAAATTGGTGCAAGTGCTTTCCAACTATAAATTGAGAAAGAGTAAATAAGTAGTTACTATTTTGTGTAACAATATTCACCTTCTAGCTTCCTCATCACGCACTTTAGCATCAAACTCTTTGCTTGGAGGATACTTTGGCAAACTTGACGGATCACAAGGAAGAGGTTTAGTTGTAAAGAACTGTGAAAAACAAAGGATCAAAATGATAACACATGAGAAAACACCAAAGCAAAGTTACGGTAGAAAAACTCGTAATGAAAACATGATCATTCTAAATCTAAATAGTTGCTAACACTGAAAAGAGTTAACAAATGTTCCTGCCAATTGAAATACTCAATGTGGACTATAACAATTTTCAAAGTATAGTCAAGTCAAGAATAAGAAAACCAAAAGAAACTTGCTGCAATCTGGTGGTTTGGCTGACATGATTCTCAGAGCTAGTAATTAGCTATCGTCGTTAATGGCAGAAAAAGAGAAGAGATTCTATAAGAGAACATTATGAAAAGGACTTAACTAGTTAAGTTGAAGTTTCCAAAGCAACATAGGCAACAGAATAAAAGCACAAAAAAAATATCTACTGCACATGTAAGCATGCACTGGCACACACAGAGATCTAGAATGGTGTTAAATGAAAAACTAAAAGACTGCAGCAAAAATAATGACAGCATAACGAAATGATATAGGAATTAATTTAAGATCCAAACCTCGCTCTTGAGAGCAGAAGCTGCAGATCCACGATCTGCAGGGTCTATAGAAAGAAGGGTCTCCATAAGTGCTAAAGCTGGTGCAGGGAAGTCCTTAAAAGTTTCTGCAACACAGCGTCTATAAGGCTGTTGAGGCTTGAATATGGTTGCATGAGGCAACTTTGATTTTCTCCAATACTCTTCAGAAGGTGAGCCACAAAGCTTGAAAATCTTATGCAACTGCTCCACCTACAAGGCAAAAATCCACAAGCTCCGGTTATTCAGTTGCACAACACTTTAAATCGGAGAGAAGCAAAAGAGATTCTGAAAGTAAAAATCAGAAAGGGGACATCCTAATAATTACAAAGTCGGCACAACTACAGGGAACAGAGAAATTAAGCAATTTGAATGGAATTAGAAACAGTTCGTAAACTATCCCTAACCTAGCAGCTAATAACCACAAATCTTTCATGGCTGCATGGCCCAATGAGGTTACTTACAAAGCCACCTCTAAAGAGCCATCTCACATCTAGCAAACCATTTCTAAGAAAGGGGAAGAATAACTGAAATTTTACACTCAAACTACTTCATAGTGTATAATGAATCTAAAAGGAACAATAATTCAGAGAGCCACAAGACAGACATGAAACATGCCACCACTAGGGTTATGTTGTAAAATCACAGCAAACCAGGTTAGGAGTACGGATGGGAACAAGTGTATGGAACATATTTATGAAGATGATTCATTATGGTGAGTTCCACTAAATAAAAAAGGTTCCTAGCTGATTTCTTATTCTTCCACCAACTAGAAAGTATTCAATTTAAATGCAGAAATGTGTGTGTGTGTGTGTTTTTGCCACCAAATAGTCGGAAGATAAATATTAGTGAAGAGCATCAACTCTACATGCCCACAAGGAAAAAAAAACTCTAAATACCTCGGTTCTTCCAGGCATAATAGGCTTTCCAGAATACAGTTCAGCAACTATGCAACCTGTACTCCACAAATCCACAGCCGTCCCATAGTAAGTAGCACCAAGCAAAAGCTCAGGTGGACGATACCATAGAGTTACAACACGACTTGTCAGAGGCTGATTTTGACAAGGATCAAAAGAACTTGCCAGACCAAAGTCAGCGATTTTCAGCATGCCATTGTTGTCAATTAAAAGGTTGGAACCTTTAATGTCACGATGCAGAACACCACGACTATGACAATGATCAAGTCCACATAACAGTTGCTGCATGTAACATTTAACCTGCCAATAAATCAACTGAATCTCAATCCTCCATCCACCTGAACAATCTCTATATTCCCTATATATAAAATTAAACAAAATACACAAGCAGCATAATGGGTGCTGATGAGAGAAAGTTCATAACAGGAACATCATGAACTGCAGACACAGGAAGCAAGAACTGACGAAAACCCCCACTAACTTGTTATGTTTAGTCTATGAGGCAAAACCGACCACTAAATACCTGTGCTTCTGTAAACTTCAGACCAGGGTGTGAAGCAAGCCCTGCCAAATCATGCTCCATGTACTCAAAAACAAGGTACAAGCTGCAAGACATCCTTGAAGTAACTAGACCTTCTAGTTTTATCACATTTGGATGATCAAGCCTTCGTAAAATGTGAATTTCCCTTGCCATAAAGCGAACACTCTCAGGCTCTAGGTTATCAAACCTCACTTTCTTCAAAGCAACAATTTTCTTTTGATCAAGATCACGGGCCCTATAAACATTACTGTAAGTACCCTGACCAATCTGCAAAATATAAATATAAGGACACAACCAAAGCCAGCCAACAGTTACAGAAATTGTAAGAGGATAGTGCTAAGGAAAAATAAACAAAAACACCAGAAATATCATATCACCAGATGGAAGAACCCGATAGAATGATATAGTCTTTATTGAATGCCACAAACCTATTGCTTTTCTCAGTGTTATTGTCAAAACCAGTTAGGTATATAAGCATAGTAACCAACAAGCAAAAAACAGATAAGAGGAAGATGATTCTAGGTAGCATCCAATAGAGCACCCAAAACATAAAACTGGAAGAGTTTAAAAAAATAAGAAACGCAAATCTGCTTAAATGCAAATCAACAAAATCCTCTAAGTTTTGATAATCCAGGCTCATAACTTGCACACCCAACTACTCCACCAACATAAAGTCTAGACTCCCAACGTAAAACCGTTATGCTTAAACTACTTATCCATGTCAACTGATTTAATTGCATGCCAGTAAAGAAGAGGAGCAAATGTAACACATATTCTTGTCTCAAAGTCTAGTGAATGTGGTTTCTTATACTTTCACAGGAAAGTAAAGAGTGAATTTTGCACCACAAGAATTCCATGTGCCTATTCATAAGTATACCTTGACACAACATTCTTAAACTCGGAAATAACTAAAAAGTAATAACAGTAATACTGTCTTGTGACCCCAAACTACTAAGTAAGAAATTGTTCCTCAATAAGTTATGATGCACAAGGAAACAGCTTTCAATAAAATAGAAAATACCAAATTCAATCTCAATAATAAAAAATAGGATAACCCAAAATCAAAGATTAAATAACAACAAAGACTAGGAAAGAATGAAGATTTGATTTGCACCATAAAGTACTTGAGAACTAAACAAGAAAAGAAGCATACTTTATCTAGCTTCTCAAATGAATCTGCACGTCGCGGCACCCATCCTTTGATGGCCTCTCCAGCCACTGCAGCTAGCCAGGAGGGCCACCCTGCTGCAACCTGTTCCCCTTCTGCAGCTTTCGGAATGATACCAATCCCAGGATGTTGAGCAACAACATATTCCATCTTTTCCCTCTTCCTTTCAAAATTCTCCCCGTTCAATCGAACAGGCCCATTCACTTGCTTATCAATCAACATTGCTCTCCCATCATTGCCATCATATCGATCTTTCGCTCGATAAGATTCCTCCCTCCTGGATGAAGCAACCCATGTCGTCCGCGAGTCTGATGCCCCCATGTTTGACAATCTCTCTCTGGGGCTCTCCTTGCTATCCTCAATTGCAGAAGGCTTACAGAAAATGCAACCCATTATGCACCAAAACCACCCCCAACAATCCCCTCCTTTCGAACCAATGCTCACACCCTCAGAAATCTTGCATTTTTACAATACAATCCTCATCACCAAAACCCATATACAAAAAGTTCAAAACTTCAAAATATAAATACTCAAAACAAAAACCCAGAAATCAACTCATCCAATATATATATATATATAATCCAACAAGCACCCCTTCACAAACCCACCAAAAACATACATTTTGCCAGAAGCAAAAACCCGCAATTTCAGAAACCCAAACCCTAGAAATCTTGAAAATCTTCAATCTTTCACCAGAGTAGGTTCAAATTCAGCACATAAAATCTTCAAAAATGCCAGTTCTTTAATATAGAATGCAGACTCTCAATGACAACAATACCCACAAATTCAAAACAAACAAAACCCCAATTTCCAAAAAGTCCAAACCTTTTTGCAGAATCTGCAGAATGTTGAGTACCTTGAAGATAAAGCACCTCTTTTACTGAAACCCTAGAAAATTATTTAGGGCTTTTGGAGAAGAAGGACATGGATCAAAGGGCTCTCGGGGGATGGAGAGAGACACGTAAAGTTGGAGAGTTTCAGAGAATTAAAAAAATTAAACAAAAATTAACATCAAATCTCTGGAATAATATAATAAAATTGAGCAAAAAAAAAATTAAGAAAAAACTGGTAAAGTAAGAAGGGGGGAGTGTCCCCTACCAGTAGCAGCAGCTTTCAGTGAAAGAGAAATGACTGACTCTCTAGTCTTTTTTTTTTTTTTTTTTTTTTTTTTTTTTTTTGGGAAACTGACCGACTGACTGTGTAGTTTGTAGAGTCCCAACACATCAAAAATGACATTCTCTTTCACCATCTTTCACACGCGCCGTCTACCTTAAACAAATTAAGTAATTATTCTTACCGTTTTAAGAAAAATTATTTATTTTCTATTAGATCATTTCCAACTCTTAGTCTAAAACCTAAAATTTTTAACCCAGCTCTAACTCTATAGCCTAAATTTTTTAGTCCGAGATTATTAAAGAATAAATTTAGGCTAATTTTTTTCTTTCAAGTAATTTTTTAAAAAAAAATTTATGTATACTATCCTAGTTTAATTTTATAAACATTTTAACCTAAAAATATTTAGATTCCAATAAATATTGAAAAATCACTAAATTTGGATGATTTTTGAGTTAAATAATTTTTTAATTATTTTAGCCGTTGGATTTAAATTTGGGTCGTTAGATCTTTTTTTGGTACCGTTAGATTTAATTATTTTAGTCATTGGATTTAAATTTAGACCATTAGATCTTTTTTTACCGTTAGATTTGATTATATACGGTCTCGTTCGATTCAATAAATCATGGGGGACATGCCCATGTGGGTGAGGTCCCACTGATGGTGCCCACACCATTTTCTAAGCTAAATCCTGAGCTATTTCTGACTTTGTTTTAGGTTTTAAGTTTTAGGTCTAATTTTCCACTTGGGTTGGGTTCTTTTTTTTTGGGGGGGGGGGGGGAAGGGGGGGTGTGTGGGAGGAAGTTGGAGATGGTCTTAGGAGTGAAGGTGGGTGGAATAAAAAAGGAAGTTGGAGATGGTCTTAGGAGTGAAGGATTCAAATTAGAGATATGTTTTTGCCAAAGTGAGTGTTTTACTATAGTAGCGAAAAATAATAATACATATGCATTATAGTGCAGATTTGATTCTTACCAATCTATTATGGTGCGAGTTTGATTCTTACCAACCATTTTTCTCTTAATAACTAACGTTATTATAAAAAAGAAAGTTTTATTAATCTTTTTATGTAATGAAACAACGTCCAAGTTCAGACCATGTTAACATAAATTAAGGAATAATTAAGAAACTAGAATAAGCATGAATAACTTATTTCCTTTGGGGTGAGTGTCTGAGTGATGGCAGAGCAGCACTTTTCAGAAGTCGCGAGTGCATTTCACATGCTTGCAAGGAGAGTGAAACTGTTGCAAATACACTTGGTCTATGTCTACTGTCAACGTAGTCCGTAGAGAAAACATCTGGGTTGGCGATGTAAACGTTTTTCGCCGATTCGAGGATTCATGTCGATGGCTTTTCCACTGCTTTCTCAGCTTCGTCAAAACTGTTTAACTGACGGAATTACCGTCCGACTCGGCTCACACGGTAAAACTCCATACAACCATATCACTCCTCTCACTCGCCTAACAAAATCGCTCCTCATTCAATCGAATTAAAAATGTAATTAGTACGTTTATTTAGAAATGTAATTGTGTAAATTTTATTAAATTCCAATAGGATTTGGAGATTAAATTTTTATATGTTTTGTATTAATTGTAAGACAAGAAAACCGATCATGATTAATAAAATAAATGAACTAATACATTATCAGTCGACCTTCTCTTTTTCACCTACTCTCAAAGTTAATTTTACAATACGTTATCAGCATAAAGTATATCTCTAGGAAGGAGAGGATTCCGAAGGAAACCCCACGAGAGCTTTTTGCCATCTTAAAATTCAAATAATCCTAAACCCTAATCTATTTGGTTCCAATTTAATTTATGACATGCTATTATTATTGTTCTACAAGGTGGTACTATTATTGTTCTACGAGGTGGTGTACCACTGCCAGTGTAGAACACCACCATTTTTTTGTTCGTAACGAGGGAGAGATAGAACGGAGTTCTTCACGAAGTTCGAGCTCATGATATAATACTACCCCGTGATTAGATCATGTCCCTGTATATGCATGTTACTGATGAATATGTATAGGCATATCAAAAAAGGATAAAAACGAAGGATTCCAAACCTTGAATCACATGAGCCGCTGAGTCGTCACCTAGCCCAGGTCATGAACGACATGTCAGTTGTCATGTCCCCTACCTTCTGATCTGTTACCGTTGAGAAAGAATCTAACATTGATTAGACAAAGAAACTTGCATGGACTAATAAAAAAGTTGCATTATTTCTCATATTGTCAATTAGTTTCTTAGTGGCATCTCAATTTCTTCATGGTATCAGAACAGATTGTCTCACATGTGAAGCAAATGGCCACACGCGCTCCATGTCACCTTGTTTGTTTTATCCAGGTGTTTAGCTTGAAAATTTGTCACACGTGTGAGGTGTGTTGAAAATGAATCTTACATTGATGAGAGGATGAACCTTACATGGGCTTATAAATAAGTAGCCTTACAATCAGGAGCATTTTCTCCCATTGAGTTTTTGCTAGCTTGACAAGGTTTTGATGAGACACTTACTCTAGGCTGGCCATAACCTTGTGTGTGTTAATAATCATTTTGAAAATGCGAAACATTGGTAGCCTACAGTAACTCACTTTTCTTCTTAGACTATGAGTTTGTCTTGCTAGTTTAATTACCTTAGCTAGAGTTTGTGAAATTTTCTTTTGATACGCGCCCCCTACTAAGAGACTCGTGTTAGTAACTATTGTAACTACCAAGAATTAGCGACAACAATCGCCATCTCTTAATCATGAAAACCTAATGGGACTACATCTTAAGTTGTACATACTCAAGGAGAGTATTGTAATTAGCGTGTTTCATTTAGGATTGTGATTGTGTAAATTTAAAGTACAATCTCAATAGGATTTGAAATAAAATCCTTATAAGCTTTGTATTACCTATAAGGCAAGAAAACTCATTATAATTAGTATAATGAAGGTACAAGGTCGAGGTGATATACACCTGAGCCCTTTTTTTTTTTTTCTCTCTCTCTCTCTCTCTCTCTCTCTCACCCAGTTTCAAGATTAGTTTTTCTTTTTCTCATTTTATGCACTTCTGTTTATTATTGTTTTTTTTCGATTCGACCCAATTTCAAAATATACAATAATGTGTGAAAAACAATGAATGTCGAAATCATTTTCCAAAAGAAGTGCAACGAAAACATGGTAATTTGGATTCATATTTTTGAGTGAGGCCACAATATTCCACCACTTAGATCCAATTTTTAGAACCATTAGATTGGATTGTACGCCTATAAGTGAGGAATTATTCAATACTCATAAGTATTGTAAATTTAGGCATATTCCTACGAACCTTATTACGTTGGTATAAATGTTGCGTGCTATGAAATGATTCTGTGTGAAATTTAGGGTTCATAATAATTGGACCCATTTGATGTGATACGAGACATATAAAAAAGTTCGAGTGAGGAGACATGTAAATAAGTTAATAATATGAATGCTAATAATCATTAATGGGTGGGTCCACCAATGGTGCATTAGATTACAAAACCCATGAATGACCCAACGAGAGCTGTCTCCTGTCTTATTTAATATACTACCAGTTTGCCACGTCATCATGCTTCCATGAAATTTATGGCCGTCTCTTCTCCCGCTCGGACAAATAAACTAGTCCGTGGGAATCAATCCATCGGATTGGGAAGATATTTTTTAATATGACCGTCACACGAGATAGTATATTATATGTTTTATATAAATGATAGGTTATGTGTGTTAAAAGCTTAATAACTTAAAACTTAAAATTTTTCACTACTTAAATAAAAATACGTGATGTAATATAGGTTTACGTCATAACTAGAAATTTCTCTAAATTGAGATCCTATACTCGGGGTTTGCGAATCAAGTAATTCGGTTTAAATTTTGTAGTCCCAATTAGTCTATTTTACAGCTAAATTATTTGTACAATTTTTCTTATGAAAGCCTAAATTTTTATCTCTCTTGAACGTTTCAAATTGCTTGGCAAAGTGTGAGATTTAGAAAGAATCTCAATCCCACCCGACCCCTATCAATTTTCAGACTTCTTGCTTGGGGCCCCACGCTCTTGGCCACTATGCAGTCGACTCTTACATGTACTAGGCAAAGGCAAAGCTACTCACCAATTCTCTGCTTTTTTTTTTTTTCCAAAAAAAAAAAAAAAAAAAATATCTAAATTAAGATTATCAGATGAGCTGAAGCTAAGATTAAAAGATGGACTCACAGAGCAAAAACAACCCAAAACAATGAGCCCAAATTACATAAAGTGGTCTAGTGGTTAGGACAATAATTGCGGCTCTCTAATAAAATAAAAAAAGTTGGGAGGTCTTGGCTTCGATGCTCCAAGCTGGTAAGTCCGTTTAACTGTGGCCACGAGTAGGATGAAATTCCCCACAGCCTTCCCAGACCCAGAATAAATAAATAATTGTAGTTTGCCACCAGTTGTCTCCTTTTAGAAAAAAATGGTTGAGCCCACAACAAATACATAGAAATAAAAAATCCTTGCAACTCTGTTGGTGCCACAACTGCAATTGATCGTGGCCCGCCACAAGCACCAGAGATCACGCCTGCAAGAGCCCCAGAATTGAGAAAGAAAAAGGCCGCATCATCCCGAAAAGGACAACCACAGCGATTACCGCCACAGAACCAAGGAAACAAGGGAGAAGAAAGATTCCACAAGCAACATTGCCGGCAAAGGCAAACACCAGGAAGGACCAACAAAGGTGGTGGTGCGAACACCCAAGCCAAAACTCTTTTAACGTAAAATATGGTTTGCCTCTTGAAAGTTATATTCAACTCTTAAAAGCACTGCAACTTTCAATTGTTGTTTGGCTTCCAACTTCATACGTGAAAGGCTCGAACCAGACTTGGATTATACCTTGAACCCGCGGACATGATAGGCCTCTTCTACTTCTATAAATAGAGTAGTCTACCGTAAAATTCATTTGTTATGTGAGTGAGTTTCTGCATATTCCGGTTCAAAGGAACCATGTGAAATTGCAATGCTTCGTATTATGGGAGATGAGTGTCAATAACCATTAACACTAGTGTGATGCGTTATTATTTTCAAAGTCAAAGTGTCGAACACTTTCCTTAACTCGAGTTTAAGTTCATCTAATTTGTTTGACTATAATACTTACATGTAAAAAATACAATCACCATCTGACGATCATATATATAACTTATGTGATGTAAATACATGCATTTAGTACAATCACCATCTGACCATCGAGATGGTAATTATATTAATTACATGTAAGAATTGTAGTCAAACCCCTAACTTGTATTGATGATCGTTTTATAATAAATAATTTGTATGATTATTTATAATTTTCCCATGTAATTTTTAAACTCTTAAGTTAGAAAAGCAGCCATACCATTTATTGAGTCAAATAAATCATTTCTTTTATTAATTTTTTTACGAGAAAATGAAAAATTAATAAGAAATTGTAGCGAGTTCCAAACAATACCATAACGAAGTTTCATTGGTTAGATCATATATGTTATGACCTAAGAATTTTAAGAAGCTTAAGGTATGACAAAACTTTAATTGAATCGTGCAAAATATGAATAAATAAATAAATTTGTCATATTTTAAAGTGTTCAAATGTTGTATGATTTGGTTAGATCACTATCGGGGATTTTCTTCAAGTTGATGGTAGTGACAAATACCAACAACTACAAGTCGACAAGGGTGGATCAGTCAGTTTCTAATAAGGAACCTAGAAAGTCAATTTCATCATCAAGTTGATGGCAATGGCACCAAAAAAAATGGTGGACGACTGAAAGTGAGTTTTAAATGACTTAAAGAAATCATTTTTATTAGTCAAGGGACTTCTAATTTTTCTGTAACTTTTTCTCTTGAAGTTGTAGGGGCGTTCAAACTCGCGTACAAGGGGAAATGCACACTACATTGAGCAGCTAGCTTAACTCGTAATTGTTTTCATTACTTTATTTTTTTTTTTTGCGAAAGCAGCATGTTTAATCATTTTCTCTATTTTTTAGTTAAATTTTAGACAAAATTGCTGAGAAGCTATTTTAGGAGCTCTAAACAATTTCTACTCCAATCATACTCTCTAATTTCGGGAGTTGTAATACAAGTGACTTGTAGTTTAGTCGTTATACAAGTGTTTTCAAGATAGCTCATAGCTTGGTGCCAACTCCCAAGTTTACTTCAAATTGTCCAATCTTACCCTCTAAATTTCTTTAGCCCTAACATATTTCTCTCACAAAAATTATATTTCTATTGCGTTAGAAATGATTGAACTCTTTAATTATTTTTCCTAAATATATTTTTGTAATCTCTTTTACTAATTCAATTAACTCTCGTATGACTCGTTATTTAAAAATTAATCATATTTGAGTTCATTTAGGTAATATTTCTCCTCTCATGGTTAACAAAGCTTCCCAGCTCAAACTTGTCAAAGAAAATATATTATTTTTATTATCCATTTAACAAACAAAAGAAAAGTGTGAGAAAGGAAAATTAATCTAGAACCTTGAATACAGAGATAAAAACTCTAAATTTTTTGACCCATAAACCTTTTGCGATCTGAGTTCATTTAATTTTGTTTATTTATTTTTTTGTTGGGAAACAATTTTTGTGCCAAAATCTGAATATCCCACAACTCCAAATATATGACTAATTTTGACTCGAAAAAGCTAAAGATATTTCAGCTCATTTTTAACCTTTTTATTTGTCGGGAAACATTTTAAAAGTTGGAAATTTGATTAGGGCTTTACTTATTGACCATTATGGTTGTTCAAGAACATTATAATGTTTCCAAAAAGCAATGAAGTGATGGTTGGAAATTGGAATCCTAATAACTTCCATGTTATAAAATAAGAGTATTTAATATTAATGGGTTATAAGTTGGGTCCAAATTCCATAATTACACACAAAAATAAATGTTTCTAATAAATAATAAGAGTAATAAAAGAAAATATTAATGAGACAACAGCGGTACAGCGCGGATGGTAATCCCCAAAATATTCGCCACCGAAACCCTAGAGACAGAGACATCTGATATGGATAACCCCTACAAACATTTTTAATTGAGTTCGAATTTGGAGCGCTTTTTCCGATAGAGGTATGTAATTGGAAGCTTTTTATAATTAAAACTCTACTCGGAAATCAGTTTTGTGCTGGCATTGATCTGGGTTAGTTTTCGGTTTTGGGTTGGATTTGCAATTTGCATGCTAATTTGATTTGGGGGTTTCCGGTTGGATTGGGGATTGGACTGGATGTTGGTTGATTGGAAGGAAAAGTGCTTTTAAGAAGTGGGTTTTGCATAGAATGTGGTTTGTGTGCTTTTGGTTCAGAGTATTCGAGCGCATTGGTGTTTCAGATCGTAGGCAATTATATTTGGAGTTGTTTAAGTGCGTGCTTTGATTTTCGGGATCCTTTTGGTTCTTTGTGTTTTGGAGATTCAGTTGGAGATATTTCAATGCATATTTGGATTTGCAGCTTAGAAGTGTAATTCATTGAGGATTTTCTGGTGATTTGGAGTATGATTTCGAGGTGGGGGCTGTGTTTTCGATGATATCTTTGCAAAAGAATTGTGGGTTTGTTGATGTGAATTTGGAAGTGTAAGAAGTTAAGTCTCTTTCCGCATAGCGTTTTTCAAGTTTCGGACTTTGGAAGAAGAATCTGGGTTTCCTGAATGAGAGGCTCTAGTCGAAGAAGAAGGAAATAAAACTTAAAGAATTTGTGGATTTGAAGGTACAATGACTGGAGGGTCATTCGGTCTACGTACAGGGAGTTATGGATCACTACTACAACAACAACCGATACAGAATGGTCTTTCACATAATCAGCCAACACCTATTCTTACCCGCAAGTCTTCAAAGTTGCTTCTTTCCGGTTCAAGGGAGAAGGAAAGAGTTTTGCTCTTTGTCTGTAGATTCTTGGGTCGAAAGCGAGTTACAATGCTTCTTTTGGTTGTCCTTGCTCTTTTGGTTTTCGTATTCAATTCCTTCACTGTAAATAGAGGTTTGTTTTCGTGATCCCTGCTGCTCTTAAATACACAGTAATGTATTCATTTTTAAAACAGGAATTTGTAAGAGTACATGCAGAGTCCTCATATTGATTGAGTTTATGGCATTTGAAACTTTACAAGTAACTGATTGTCTGAGCTTAGTGTTATTTTGACACATAATCCGAAGCTGTCTTGATATGGGGTGTTATTGGAAGTATGGAACAAACATGATTGTTGTTTACACCTTGATTTATTGTAAGAAATATCACTCAATTGAGTTTACCTAGCTGTATCTATTTCTACGTAATTGGAGCTAGTATGGTTGAGCCTTGCTTGTTGACGTCGGAATGAATACTTTGTAGATTGTTTTCATATTTTCTGTACAAATTCATCTATTGTTCTCTACAATTCTTTTAAGTAAAATAATACATTTTTTTTATGATGGACCAGAAAGCACTAATGTCATTATGACTCAACATAGTGAAAATGTGATACCTTTTCGCGAGGAGATGTCAAGTAGTTCCGTAACTTTTGAAGACATGGAAGACAGACATGACATTAAACTTCCTTCTCCCCATTCCCTTGCTCAACCATTTGCTGTTGTTCGGGGAAATGCCCCTCTTTTGCCTCACCACTGTGAAAATTTTGCATTTCCCCCTCCTCCTCCTCCAACCGATCGAAAACGCTATGGACCACGCCGTAAGTTTTTGTATTTTTCTTTATTCTTTCAGTGTTTTTTTTGGTCGCCTATTCTTTCAGTAATATACCATGATATTCAATATGGTTTAAACATCTTTACATGAACTTGAGAAGTTATCACAAACGTTCTGAGGTGATACATATCCTGTTGCTGAACCATTGAATTTATTGTTCAATTTCTTTCAGCATGCCCAGTTTGCTATCTACCTGTGGAGCAGGCTATAGCTAGTATGCCAAGCTACCCCTCAGAATCACCTGTCCTACATAATTTGACATATGTTTATGATGAAAATCCTACTAGAGTTGAACCACATAGAGGTTCAGAATTTGGTGGATTTCCAACTCTAAAGCAGAGAAATGACTCTTATGATATAAAAGAATCCATGATGGTCCACTGTGGGTATGTTTACTCTCATCATTTGTTTTGCCTGGTTGCTTTTTATTAGTTAATGATTTTGTGATCCTTTCAGTTTGTTCTTTTATCGCTGATTGCATTGACCCTTTCTTGTGTTCTCTTGGTGCTTTTCAGATTTGTGAACGCAAGCAAACCTGGTCACCGGTCTGGATTTGATGTTGATGAAGCTGACCTTATGGAGTTGGAGATGTACCATGATGTCATTGTTGCATCAGCTGTCTTTGGTAAATCTGAGCTTAAGAAATTGTGGGAGGATTTGCTTGACTGTATGCATATGGTTTACTTTTTCTCATGGTTGCATCTGCATCTTTGTCAGGAAACTATGACATAATACAACAACCAAAGAACATCAGTGAGTTTTCGAGGAAGAATGTTCCATTCTACTTGTTTATTGACGAAGAGACAGAAGCTTATATGAAGAATTATAGTGTCCTGGGAGACAGTAAGAGGATAGGGTTGTGGAGAATTATTGTTGTCCGCAACGTTCCTTACAGTGATGCAAGGCGTAATGGAAAGGTCAGTTTGTTTTGATTGATTTGGTTCATCCTTTTGGCCACATCCCACAATGTAGCTTAAATCAGTTGTTATTTAAATTTTATTTTTGGTTTCAAGGATTTGCTGGTGCTCTTAAATGTTTTGTTTCTTACAAACTGCATTTATTGATAGGAGATTGGTACTTTTAAGATTAGTTTATATGATTCATGGGAATTGATAGAAGCATTGCAAAGAAACATGCATAGACAAGCATGTATGAGGATGCTGATATACATACAGAGATTGGTATAATTTGAGCATAATTCCTAAACCAAACCGGCCTGGCCCTTATAAAAAGAAAAATATTTTTGACCGATCTGGCTGCAGCATCCAGCTCACATTCAACTTCTGGTCTTGGTTATGTTCCAAGTGCTGCTTGCTAAGTTGTAGTTGAACCTTTAACCTGTAGATGTTGGGTTTTGCAACTGGAGTTTGGTCTGTTGTCAAATTGGCACTCCTAACCTTGGTTTTGGTGTTCCCTTTATGCAGTGTATGGATTTTAGTAAAAGTTCATGTCAATCTTTTTTTAATTTAATAAATAGTGGCATGCTATCCAGAATTTATTCCATCTGGGTTAAAAGGGATCGGGGGAAGTTTTTAGATGTTTTTGACACTTAATGTTTTTGTGGCAGATTCCGAAGCTTCTATTGCATAGGATTTTCCCCAATGTCAGATACTCTATATGGATTGATGGAAAGCTTCGGCTTGTGGTGGATCCTTTTCAAGTCCTTGAGAGGTACACTTCTTTTCTGATTAATGCCATGTGCACGCCTGTAGTAGTATAGTTGAGAATCTGAAATTACTACCCTGCCTCATACAACAACTGAGTGTTTGCTTAATTATCAGTAATTTTAACAGTGATTCTTTAATTCAGCATGCACCTTATGTAACAATGTGATATTGCAACCAGTTCTTATGCTGCTGTGCAAATTCATATTCGTTTTTGAGTTTTACACAAATAAACCTTGATCTTTTAATACTTAAATAATGTTCAGGTTCTTGTGGCGTCAGAATGCAAACTTTGCAATTTCAAGGCACTATAAACGGTATGATGTGTTTGTAGAAGCTGAAGCTAACAAAGCTGCTGGAAAGTATGATAATTCCACCATCAATGAGCAGATTGACTTCTATATTAAGGAGGGTTTGCAACCTTATTCAGAGGCTAAGTTTCCAATAACGAGTGGTAGGTCATTTATTCACTTGCGGTCATATGTAAGCTTATGCATACATATGGCAGTGTATGTTTTTCTGCTTCGGTTTGCATGTAGTAGCATTATCTTTCGCTTTATTTGATCTGGAATGTGGTGCTTTGTTCTTTGACTTTCTGCAGATGTTCCTGAAGGTTGTGTTATCATAAAGGAACACATTCCCATCACAAATTTATTTACCTGCAATTGGTTCAACGAAGTTGATCGTTTTACCTCCAGGGATCAGTTAAGCTTCTCCACAGTGAGGGATAGAATCATGGGAAAAGTTGATTGGAGCATTAATATGTTTTTGGACTGTGAAAGGCGGAATTTTGTAATTCAGGTAATATCTGTTTTTTGAAAAATTACTGTATTTCATTCAACATGTTTTGTTTATTTGGAATATTCTAGGTTTGTCAGGATGTTGTAGAGTCGCAGGGTTCTGTTGAGCAACTAGGTCTTTTTATTTAGTGCCACAGACGCTTGCATATGTGTTTTGCAATCTTGGAGATTTAGATGCATTGTTGTGCTAACGGTGCTCTGTTTAGAGTCCGGGAATTACTTGGAAAACGGCTCATTTTCCAAATAGAAATTGTATGCTGTTTGAACTGTTCTTTTCATCTTCATAGCATATGAAGGTAAAAGCTTATCCTCGGAATGAAGGTACTAGTCAATGTAGATTAACTAGTGGTAGCTGGTAAAGTTTACTAGGATGTCAATGTGCCGAACTATGTTATAAGGTCCTCCTGTCTCTTTTTCGTTCACTTCCTTTGAATGCATAAGCTTTACATGTTACTATATGTTCATAGTGATTGCAATGTACAGGCATACCACAGAGAGTTACTGGAGCACATGCCTCCTCCCCCACCTCCTAGGGTTATTGTTCGTCGTCCGCCATCTTTGTCTCATGGTGCCACATCTGTAAAGACTCCAATCGGGAAGAAGATTTCTCAAAAGCGTGGACGAGGAGATAAGAAGCGCCATCGTAAGGTTGCTGGTGGTAGTAGAGACAGCAAGACATTCTAATTTTTCTTTTTGTTGTTTTCCCCTTGAGAAATCTTTGACTATAGGAAAAATGTAATCTTCCTCCCCCCTTGTCACAAATTATACGTCGCGGGGTAGGAAGATTTGGTTAGATATGTGCAGGATAGGAAAGGACAGATAAAAGAAACTCAAATTTTTGTGTTGGAATTGTTGATATCATTCAAGTTTTTGTTCCTTTTTCTTCAGTAGCTGTGTATAATCTTTTGCCATGTTCCTCGTGCTTGCTCCAGAAAACCAGTGACAGATAAATATTGTTTGACGTCCCATTTCAGAATCCTTTTTCAACGCGTTACGGTTTGTCATACCAACGTTGATTGTGTTCATTTTATCGTATTAACACAAAACGATTAATCGTTCATCGTCTGAGCTCTTAATGTGAAAGGCTGGGAAAGCTAAAATGTACAAGGAAAGATAATTGTGCAGAGAAAATGGAGGTTTTAGATGCACTTGCGGTTGAAGGTGGGAGAGGAGATGCGAGGAGGTTTGCTTTTGCAAGATGGAAGGAGAGGAGCTGTAATTATGTGATCCCAAACTCTGGCCATTACTCGGCTATGCATTGGTAAATGTGCATGATGAGATTGAGGGATTGGGCAACACACCAAGAGTGGCAATTTTCAGACATGACATGTTACACGATTTACAATTCACACGAATATAAAATTATAAAACATGTGAATAGAATTAAACAATAAAATTTCTCCATTTTTTTAAGAGTAGTATGGGCTGTTGTATTGTTAAATTATTGTTTTTATATATTTTGTTTACTAATCAACCTGTGGATTGACACGAACACGACATAAATATAAATAAGTTAAGTCGATGCATTCAATCCCTAATAATAAGCCAATGTCCAAAGATAAGCCTTTTGAATAAAAAAGAATGGCCACTTCCACTTCCACTTCCACTTCCACTTCCACAGCTGTAGCCTGCAAGTGAGGTGGTGGTCTCATTTGATGGTGATTTCTTCTATGTTATGTATATCTCAATGCATTAAGATATGGTAAAGTTGCTGTCATTGAGTAGGTATAGGAGAGAACAAAGCAGGGCACCTTACTTGGACATGGATTTACAACCAACCATCTAAAAGCCTTTGCCTTTGGGTGCAGAAGATTTGTACTTGTTTTTTGGTTTTATATGCAGATGCAGAAGATCCTGTCAGCACCAGCTCACAATGTGAAGTGGGTCTCCTAATTCTAAGTGGAAAAGTTTGGAAGATTCACAACTTGAAGTGGAAGTCCCTTCGAAGTCCTACTTATAGAGATTTTGCTATTAATGAACAAAGTAGCATATGGTCATGTAATATTCAATTTACTGAGCAAGTAAATATTCCTTTCTTCAGACGATTTTAAATTTGACGAATCAGAATTTAAAAATGAACGTGAGACAATATTTTCTTGAATATAGTTGTCCATGTAATAAATTTAGCCTAAAGTAAATCAGAAAAATAATGTGGAACCCAATGGTTCCATGACCCCACAAAATTTTCAATTGCTTTGCAGAACAGGGAATCAAAGGCAATGTTTAAATGTATAGTCTTTTCCATTTATAGCATCTTTAAATATCTACAGCTAATCAAATCAATTAAAATAAAATAAAAATTCATCTCAAATAGAAAAATCCCTCCACTGACAGTCAGCTATTCAGCATGTTGTAGTTGCTGGAAATATCTCAATCGAGATTCATTCCTCTTTCCTCTCTCCCCTTTGTCAAAACTGTAAAACCCCCCTTTTTTTTATTTTTTTTATTTTTAATTTCCAATTTCATTTCCTATCAGAGCCTCAAGGATTTGATTCATGTGGAAAACATTGATAAATAAGGCTAGGGTTTTGTTGGGGTTTTCCTTGTGTGAGGTTTGATTCTTTATTTCAAACCTTAAAATCTTGAAATCTTGGTCTGTTGGTCTCTCTGGCATCTGGGTTTCTTGAGTTTTTTTGAGTGGAAGCTAAGTAAGGTTGGCTTCTGATTAGTTTACTTGCTCTGGTTTATGGGATTTGTATGGTGAGACTTTAGGGTTTAGGGTTTTTGATATATATGTGATCTTTTCAGAGTTTTTTTATTGCGCAAATTGTGGTTGAATATAATGGAATTTCGTTTTGTTCTATGATACATGCGATATGCTAAACTGCGGACAAGGGGATTCAAACTCGGTACATAAGAAAGCACATCTTATCTTGCTAATGTGACCACGCTCACGTCTCAAAGTTTATCTGTGTAGAGAAGAAAGACTAGGGTTTTACCTGGGTTTTGAGCTATGGGGTTATCTGGGTTTTTCCTAATATGTATGCTCCACTCTGTTGTTGCTTTGATTTGTGGAGCTTTGATGATGTTTTACTCTTATGAATTCTCTGTGTTCATCCATGGCCATGATACAGCAAGCAAGCTCCAAGGATCAACGCCTCACGACCGGCTTTTGATACGAACCGCGGATTCCTTCTCCGGTCTGCTTCTATTTGCTGTTGGATTCATTCTTTTCATGGTTGCATTTGTCAAGGACAACAAGTTCCAGAGCTTCTTTGCCAAGGGTTGTGTGTTGCTTCACATTTCTATGGCCATTTGGAGAGTTTACTTTGAAAAGGACCTGCAAGACCTAGCCGGAGACTGGCCAAAACAGGTCGCCGGCGACATCACATTGGCGCTTTCGTGGGCGTTACTTCTTGTGTACTCATGGAGGGAGAAGTATGATTAGCAAAGAACTGCGGTCGCTCTGCTTCAAAATTCTGTTACTCTCTGAAGTATCTTCGGAGTTGCACATTATTCATTTGTCGGAATGGAATTGTGGTCTTGGTTCCTCGGCTTCTTGGTCATATGAAGTTGGAAATTGGAACCGATTTGTCTAACAAAACAAATGATGTTGAATTCTGGTAACTCCAAGAATTGCAGATAGAGAAAAATAAAGATTAGATTTCACACTTCTGGTTAATTTATAGGTTGTTTGGATCTTGTTAATCTTGAACATGTTCTACAAACTCCCTTGTTCATTTGCAATTTTGCACCTTCAGTTGTGCCCCTCTTGTAAATTTCCTCACATTATAGAACGAATAAAATGATGAGAAATGCGTTTACTTATGTCTTTCATTTGGTTTTGCGACAACATGTGATTAATTAATGTAATTCTCATCTACATTTTTAAAATTCGTAACATGGTTTTGGCAGTCTCTGCTACAATTTTATATTGACGTTAGGTTAATTTGTCTGATATAAAAAAAAAAAAAAAAGAATGAGTCAATTTGATAAAAGCTATTAAAAAAAATTAAAAAGAAAAAGAAATGAAAGTTTTCAGCATATTTTTTGTGGGCCCACAGAGCCCAAGACAAGGGTTGACCCTTTGACTCATACACGGCCCAGTTTTAGCCTTGAAATTTTGAGCGGCCACTTTCGTCTTCAGAGAACAAACACCTTTTCTCTGCTCCCACTTTCTGCCTTCCAGAAAACGCAAAGCTTCTTCCTTTCAGCTTCTCCTCCTCCTTCCTTTTCAGCGGTAAGTAATTCCTTCCTTCGCTCATACATTTCTGTCACCAATTTCGTTACCCTTCTGAGATATATTTACTTTTCCATCAATGAATTATGGATGTAAAGTTCCAAAATCTCTGTGGTTATGGCTGTGTTGTTGTTTGATTAGATGGGTTGCTTTACTTTTCATCTAGGTTTTCTGCTTTGCCTTTGTATTTAATATTTATAGTTTCTGCCGCTTTTGGTGAATATGTAGTATTTATGTGGGAGTTTGCTTGTAGTAACAAAGTGCCCACCATATGTTTGAAGAAATGCCGGAGTGGGTGTTGGATAAAGGACGTGTCTTGAATCTTGATTGAAATCCTGAGCTATGGTGAAAAAGTTTATTTCTTCATCTGGGTTTTTTGTTTTGGGATCCTGTGGATTTGTGCCCGTTTGGAGAAGTAGGGTTTAGGGTTTTTGCTTTTCGGATGATTTCCTCTCTTTTACATGAGCTAGTGTCTAGTGATTAGGCTAATCAGTGATTAACGTATTTTAGGGGGTGTTTTTCTATAAATTATGACGCCATATCTCTCTGTTCCATTCAATCTGTTTAGGTATGATATGGTGTATACCTTTATGAATACATGTTTATCATCGAGGCTGCTCTGAGTCGAAGCTGATGTTCTTTGTTTTTTTTCTTGTTTTTTAATAGCATATTTCTGTTAGGTCTTCAAGAACTTTGAGAAATGGGTGGACTGCCGGCAGAAAATACTTCCTCTGCCTTGGTTTTGCAAAGGTCACAGCCTAATCAAGGATCAGCAGTCACTACTCCTGCCCTGGACACAAAGCCGAAGAAGAAGATCTGCTGTGCTTGCCCGGATACTAAGAAGCTGCGAGATGAATGCGTTGTGGAACATGGTCAAGATGCTTGCACAAAATGGATTGATGCTCATCTCAAGTGCCTTCGTGCAGAGGGCTTCAATGTTTGAAATTTCCGGATGGTTAAGATAATAAATTGAAGGCTATGCTCAACAGTTTTGAAAGGAAACCATTTACTTTAGGTTTAGACATACAACATGGTAATATTTGAACGTTGGTGAATAATACAAGGAAGAAGAGCTTCTGTAGTTCTGTCTACTGTTAGATGCAACCATATTTGACTTGTATTTACTTAAATTTTACTGAGACTTACACCCTTCAAACGTTATAAAGTTGCAACATGTGAGCTTAATATATGTTATTGTCTTGGCTAATTGTAAGGCTCGCTTGAATTAGTTTATCATTCAAATATTCGTAAATTCCTTGATGAACTAGTGCCTTGCTAACCTCTTATTCACAAGGAATTGCATAAATAAACATACACGCCTAGTTGGTGTTGTCTCAAACGAATCATGCGATGTCATGTGGCTATGTGTTTCATGTAAATCCCTTTCCCTAGTCACACCACCCGTACAGTGAAATGGGATTTCTAATTCTGCGGTTTTTGCCATTCGTTTTGGTGGCTCAAAGGAAGAGCAAAAGGATTCAAAACATCTTCAAATGCTAAATAAAATGATTGCGCATTCTAATCATCTCCCATTTAATACCAATCCCAAGATCAAAAGGGTTTCAAATAAGAACATATTGGACATATCCGTCATATTTTATTTCATTTTTATATAACGGTGTTAACAGAAGGATAATCGAACATCAAACCTCAGATGAAAGGGTAAATTAAACTACTTGAGCTATAAGTCCATTGTTATCCATAATATTGTATGCTAGAATACATCTATTACATTCCTATCTGCAATTCCTTGATTAATTGCAGCTATGATGTGAAGCAAAATTATGGTTAGGGAGAAAATAAAATGGAATTAATAGAGCCAAAGCATGTATTCTAATAATATCATTTCATAACATCACAAGGCCACTAACATGGCGATTACATGACACAATCAGAGAAACATAACATATGAGTGACAGGTTTTCACAGACAGTACATGTCACTCAACAGACACAAATACTATAAACAAACCAAGGACAAAGCCACAACGTTGTTTTCCCACAAACACTTTATTCGTTTACATCTTTAATTTGTTTGTATGGGTTTAGTGACCACAGGTGCAGTTCACACATAAGCAGACTGTGCCACACTTGCACTTTCCGTCGTTCTCGGCGGCAGGAGCATCCACGACGACGGTGTCCATGGAGCTGCAAAATTAATCAAAACTCCCCACAATTAGTCTTAAGGAAACGAAGAGAAGAAAAGTTAATTCTTAGAGTGTATTGAAGTTTATGACAAAAGTACCGGTTCTCAGTCTCAACGATCACCAAGTCGTAGCTCTTTCCCTTCTTCCTGCGATTTAAAAAATTGGCATGTTAAAGCTTTGAAGGCATGTATGCACCAACTAGATCGAAAAAAATGAATCTGAAACAGGAGATCTTCAACGTCAAGAAGAGAAATACCACATACTAGAGCTAAATCATTTCAGTTAAGCCCTCCATCAGTTATTTAATTCGCATTAAGCAAGTAAATACCCTATATAATCTTGTTATTAAGCGAGTAAACTACTAGTTGGTAACCCTAGTCGAAAACAATTATCAAACCCTTTCTATTGGAGAAAGATTTAGGGGTCACCGAGGATATATCACCATATTCCTATAGCACATATCACGTATCTTGATTTGATTAGCACTATAGCTAGGGTTTAGTCTTCAGTGATACATCCATGGTGCCATACCTCTATATACAGAAGAAAGACTTTCATAACACAAATACACCGTCATCGTAATATCTCATGCTAATCACGACAACAGTAGATTCATGTCATGAAAGTTGCTCTCTTATATACAGAGCAAGCTGAGTTCAAGCAGTACTAGCTATGAGCAAGATTTAGCCATGCAAGATTTACAGATCCATAACTAAACTGATAAAGAAGCATTACGTGCACTGGGAGCTGTCAGCACAGTCGCAGTTGTCGCACTTGCCCGACATGTTGCAGATGAACTTAGAACTTGGAACTGAAGTGTGTTTTAGGGTTTTGCTTGCTGTATCTCCAATCTGCACCATCGTCCTGAATTTATAGATGCACGGAGAGGGCAGGAGCAAGGGTGCTAGTTGCTGGGAGGTGGGGCCTACAGTGGACAGTAAGGTGTAGGTGGGGGCCTCGAGGCATGAGGGAAGCACACGTCTCCCGAGAAACGTCCAAAGGAATCTTGATAATGGAGGGCTTGGTCTGCTATCCTCCTCTCGTGTCAACTTCAGTTCTCTTTTTCACAAGATGACCAAATCACTTCGTGCACACATATTGAGATATGAATTGAGATATGTATCTCTCTCTCACTCTCAAGTTCTTAACTCATGAATTGGGAAAAGATTATAGATTAATTGTTATCCCTAAAGCTCTTAGTTTGTAGTATAATTAATGGAGATGAGCATGCACTTTGGCCCTTATAAAAGACATATGGGAGAAACTTGCATATAATCGAGGATATCTCTCTTTCTAAATCTCTCATAAAGTGACCAAGGATATCTCCAAAGACTCGGTTTTGTTAAACTATTTTTGAACGAGTTAAAACTTTTTTAACGTGATCAAATATCGTAGAAGCACACATGCATGCTTCTTCAGGAATATTTTCAAGTGCTTTTTTAACATACTTATATTATTAGTTTTCAATAGTAAAGCACTTCTAGCAAATTTATAAATGATTTCAAGTGCTTCATGCATAAGTACTTAATTAGTAGCAAATGTTCAGTTTATTGGAGATAATAACTGGCAAGGCGAGGTCGGATATGCCCTCCTGCAGTCCATACTCCCAAAATAACCCCATCCCCCATCCTCCCCCACTCCATCCCCATTCGGCATGGGTTTGGGAAATTGAATCATCTGTATTTATTGACAGAGATTACATGCAGCAAATTGAAACCGCTTTAGGAGCACCAAAAATTTACTAGTGGATTGTGCTTCTTTTTTCTTTTCTTTTTTCAGCCTTAATGTTCATTGTGATTACTAATTAGATATAGTATAAAAATTACAGGAATATTAAAACTTAAAAGGTTGTACTACCTTATAGGCTTATACACATGTAAAAGCACAAATTCCCACGAAGTTTTCACCATCCAAGTGTTTAGAGAACTTGTCAAATTTGGCATCGAATTCAAGAGACGAGAACATATCTGCTTAACTTGGAACAAACCAACAAAAGCTGGCCTAAAGAGAAAATAGTTGGTAATTTGCTCCTCACTTATTCGCATCGATTCTTTCTCTTGAGATCATTAATCTTTAAACAAAAATGCTATATATTTTTGTCCTAGTTTAAATCACATATTTGTACTATCTTTCTAATGAAGATAGACCCACACATATATTGATAGCTTCGAATTGAATAGCTTTGCATTTTGGATTCTCGTAAGTTTTTATAACCTAAGGGCTTTTATATAGGCCAAATTTTTGCTACAAGCCATTTGTTTTTCTTCAAATTAAGGAACTTGGAGCACAAAATAACAAGTTAGTTATGTGACAGTGTTCTAGTACCACAAAATAATTTTTTTACGTAAGAAAGAGATCAATCATAGAAATGGTGCTCGATATCACAAAGTTTTTGAAATTAAACAACTTAAATCTTGAATAACTTAAATTAGACAATCAAATATATACCAACTTTGTTGTGTTTAATATTTCTTTTAAGGTGATTTTACATTAATGAAGAAAATAAAAAAGTTCTTGGTGACTTTCAAAGCAATTGCTTCTCCGAGTAGCCAGCGTTGCTTTCAAACATTTTTCAGGGGAGTTATAGCCTTACATTCCCATATACATTATTTTTCCATCTTGTTATCTACAAGTAGGGAAGAAAGATATATATATATATATATATATTCCTGTCCTCCTCATACTCCACTTTCTGTTTAACAGTCTTGCTCTTCTAAGGTTATCATTTTGAAAACCTATGAGGATCAAATGCATATTGGCCACAAGATAATATTAGTTTATGTTCAAATGCTTAAAATATTTGACAACTTAATAAATTAATATTTTAAGTTGGTTTTGCTTTATTAAATTATCAAATATTTTAAGTCTTTGAATATAAACTAGTATAATCTTGTAGTTAATATGCGTTTGGTTCCTCCTAAGCCTTAAAAATGAGGACTTTAGGTGAGCAAGACTCTTCTGTTTAAACCCTGTCCAAAGCAAAGTTTGTAGGTGTAGTTTGTGAATTTAAAGGGACCAAAAAAGAAATAAACGTTCACCAAAAAAAAAAAAAAAGAAATAAACAAAAAAGGCTCAAAATTCTTAAGGTTAACATTTGATTATGGTTAAAATTTCCGACATGATTTTTATTAAGGCTCACTAAATATCTTATCATCTTCATACGAATTATTGATACATATAATCAATAAATATCCTACTTTAAAGAAATAAAAATAAAATTGATTCATTCTTAATAGAAGGAACAAATAAATTTGACCACAGGAGAAAGAGTGGGGGTTTGAGCGTGGCTAAGAAAGCTATGTATGAAGTCGGATTTTGGATTTTTCAATGTGATTGGTCGTAGTTAATGGAAAACTGGAAACTGACATGAGCAACTAAACCCACTCATTCTCATATGAGATTGAGGCCATTCATCCCTTGACTTCATCAATGGTTCATAAATAATTTATTTTTGTCTGGTTGGTCTTTAGGATTGGATTATAACGAATAACTTCCTATATGTTTTGAGTGCACTGAACACGAGACAAATAAAATTGTCTTATAATCTTTTTTATTTATTTATTTATTTATTTTATAAGTTCAATGGAGAAAGATTAGGTGAGAGATCATCTCTTCGGCAATGATTGTGTGCGAGACCCCTATCCTCCTGTAAAAGTGAGTACCCAAAATGACCAAATGATCAACGATCAACGAAACTGATAACAAGGACAAAATGAAATGACACGAGCATGAGCAGAGGCAACAAAATTTGGAACCGTAGACCATTAGTGATAAGCATACCTATCTGTTCTAAATGAGGCTAAAGATCTGCAACCTAATTTCCTTCTTGATAAATATGGGTACATATAAACCACATTTGACAAAATCGCCATAAACAATTCTACCAATCTACCATAAAGAACCAAGGGATTGCATTAGGAGTCTTGAAAAGATAATGCGGGTTCTTACATGCAAGAAACAATTCCATATTGTAGAAATTACAGTTTGACGTCCCTTTAGGAACACAATATGGGTGCAAAATAAGAAGTTGATGCGCGTAGAAAATCTTTGTGGCTTAAATGTTAAAATGGTCCCTGTGTTAGAGCTATTTGGCAAATTTAGTTTTCGTGTTTTCAATTTGGGCAACTTAGTCCTCATGTTTATCTCCGTTAGTCAAATAAGGATATTCCATTAAATCTTTATTAGAAAATTGGCTTAAATGTCACAATGGTCACTGTGTTTTAGTCATTGGATCAATTGGTCCCGTATTTTCAATTTGGCCAATTTGGTCTTTATATTTATTGCTGTTAGCCAATTAAGGACATTCCATCTCTGTTAAAAAATTCATAGATTATTATACTTATTTATAAAATTATCTATTTGATTTAAAATAGTTAAAAATGAAATAAAATTAAAAAGCTAAAAGAAAAATTATTCTCCTCCCAACTCCCCAACCTCCTCCCCAACACTCTTTCTTCTCCCAATTTTCTTACCCGCACCACCCCCCCCCCCCAACCCAATTTTCTATGTCACAACCTTAATAATTTTTAGATTGGAAGTTTTATCTCTTATATGTATTTTTTCATTGATTTTCATTTTTTCTGTAAATTTAAATAAAGAGAAAGGGTAATATATGTCTTTCTCAATTGCAGTTTCTATTATACAGTCGGAGACGAGGTGGTCGGAATTAATTTCTTGAGACTTCTATTTTAATTGAAAATATTTTTTCTGTAATAAGTTAAAATATTTTTATAAATTTACTCTCCTAAAAGTATTTTGGTCAATTCACATTAATAGATTATTTACAAGAAAATTAGGAGTAGGTTGTAACAGATGGCGGATGAGGGCTTGCGACGATGGCAGAGGAGGGATCAACTGAAGCGACGACCGAGGGATCAACATAATCGACGGTTGATGTTGGCGAAGATGTGGCCATTTTGGGATGTCACTTTCGAGGTTGAAAATATTTTGATATTTTGGGGAAATATTTTGATATGGATGTGTTGCAACGATTTAGAGCTATTGTGAATCCCAAAGTGATATTGGGCCATGCGCATGAAGTGAGTCGCATTGAAGTTGAAGGGTTCTCTTAACACCCAAAACTCCTCTTTAGACACCTAGCCCATACCTTATCCGAATTTCTACTTTTTAATCTACACTTGAAAACTTTTTTTTTCGAAGAAACAATAACATCTACACTAAGGAGGTGGGAGAGTGAGTTAAGCCTCACAATGAGCTAGCAAAAATATGGTTCAAATTCGCCTATGGCTAGAAACGAACCTAAGACCTCTCACGTACAAGTGAATAGGAATATCACTACACCGTAGTACTAAGTGACAATTTATAATTTAAAACCTTAAACCAAAAAATAGAATAAGCAATCATTTAGCTTCAACCTTCCTTATTTGTATCTATTTTTGTTCTGTACAACTCTCCATATCAAGGCGCCAACGCAAGGAGGAGAAGGAAATAGAGTTTGAATCATTAACCATTTTCCCCAAATAAGCGAAACTCTATCCTCCTGCACCTTATGATTCCCAAACATCCTTATCTCATTTCCATCCAACTTGAATTATAAAACTCGATTCTTGCTGCTGGTGAAACATATGATGGGTGGACATAGAAATATTGAAATGCCTTTATCAGTCTTTTCGGCCCCCAAAAAGATGGACTGCCATGATTTGACCACCAATTGGACACTTTTATTAAAAAAAAACCTTAAATTATAATAAGTGCATCATTTTTTTTCCAAGTAAACATATTAACCTTAGCAGCTATTCATCTTGTAGTGTGTAATAGTAACAGGTATGGTTATACTTTTGCAGTAGCCAAAAAAAAATTAGGAAGTGATTTTCTCACTCAATTTTTTTTCTTCTACATACTTTTTTCGTAGCGAAGATTGAATTA